CGATCCGAATGAGAACCGAACCGATTAAAAACCGATTTTTTTTGAAACCGAAAACCAACCCGAACCGCATGTTAGTAAAACCGACACCGAACCGATCCGAGAAAACGTTAAACCGATTAAGAACCGAACCAAATCTAAACCGAACTGAAAAGGAAACCGAACCGAAAATGAACCGAACCGTTTCTAACCCGAAACCATTTAAACTGGCATAAAAACCGCTTACACCGAACTGTTAGCAAACTGCTACTCGTTTGCACCGAACCATTTAAAAACCGAACTGATTGTAAACCGAACTACTTATAAACCGAACCGTTTATGAACCGAACTGCTTATAAACCGAACCGTTTATGAACCAAACCGCTTATAAATCGAACCGTTTACAAGCTTTTTTTGTATGTAATAATAATATTTTTTTTGGTGCACTTTTTTATGTAATTATTTGGATTAAGTATTAGAAATCTTAGAATATATATTTAGCATATATTCCATACTTTATCAGTTTTTCTTGAGACCATATACTTATCATATTAATTGTATATATCTTAGTAACTTAGTTAATACTAAATTCCCTTAGAAATAGCACTTCGTTAGCTAATCCGTGAGTATTGACTTTAATTTGGTTTTTGGGGAATAATCTGCAATTTTGGTTTTTTGGGCAATAACCTACAATTTTTTGGCCTTTTGGGCCTTATTCATCAACATAGCAGTATTCCAGTAGCATAATAGGATTAATAGCATTAACAAGTTATAAAACTTCTAATTCAACAAGTTTCAACTTTTCAAAACCAAAACAAACTAATCCAATCCATACACATAATTAAACAATTTTTAACACAAAGTAACAAAATCAAACCAACCAATCCATACAAACAAGTTTTAACAACAGAATTGTACAAGTTTTTAGCATAACAAGATTAACACCAGCACCACAGTCTACAGCAGAATGGCAGATCAGCAGCACTGCAGACTGCAGCAGCAGAATGGCAGAACTGCAGCGATGGAAGAAGAGCAGCAGAACATCAAAATGGAAGAAGAGCAGCAGCAGAATGGAAGAACAACAGCAGAACAGCAAGTCAGCAGCACAGCAAGTCAGCAGAACAACAGTAAGGAGAAGAAGCAGTCAGCAGTAGCAGCACCCTATACTTATCATTAGTGTAAGAAATGAAGCTACACTTTTCTCACAAAAAAAAAAAAAACAAGAAAGCTTGAATTAAGCAACACAATATAAATTAAGCATCAGTAAAATAGCAACATCCATACCTTTCTAATTAGATGCAAAACTTTCATCTATCACCTCTTTACCAATTTCAAGGACGTCTTCTTCAATATCACAATCATAACCACGTAACCAATTTTGTGTGGTAACCAACGCCTCAACATTCTTAGGCAAAAGTGCACTCCTATACTTGTTTAAAATACGACCACCCATGCTAAAAGAAGACTCAGAGGCTACCGATGTAATAGGAATGGCCAAAACATCCCTAGCCATAATAGCTAATATGGGGTACACATTAATTTGAGATTCCCAATACTTGAGAACATCATAATTCTGCCCTTCAATTGATGGTTGACGAGGAGTATTCAAATAATTATCAATCTCCATCGATGGTCGATTTAGGCTATCATCAACATCAACATCCTAGAAAAGTGCAAAAAAATATGCTTTTATTAAATAATAAAAATTAAGACATATAATTATTATTTTAGTAAACCACAATAAACAGAAAATAATTACCTTGAATATATCATCATCATCCAAGAGACTATTTGATTTATCAACCCCAATAGGGATGGAGGGGGAAACAATTGTACTTGACTTAAAACCGGAACACATAGAAGAATAAAAGTTATACAACTCCAAAAGAGCATCTTTAATCACCTTCGCCTTTTCAACACATGCCTCCTCAACATAAAGCACTTTCAACATATTCGTCAATCGAAATAGCTTATAGCGAGGATCAAGAACAATAGCTATTGAAAGGATCAAACTATAGTCATCCCAATAGCCCTCAAACTTTTCAAGCATAACTTTTGCCATGGGTGCAAGTTTAGGGTCTATATGGGCTTTAGTTATTGTGTGCTCAATTTTCAAAACACTAGCAAAATACAAATTTGCGTAGGATATTCAGAACCAGAAAATAACATAGTGATTTCATAAAATGGCTTTAGGAAATGACATATTTTTGCAAGGGTATCCCATTCATCATCCGAAAGTTTGAATTCATAACCCATATACTTATCGATAACCACTTTCAAGGCTTCCTTTGCTTCTAAAGCTTTCGGAGCATCGTATAGGTGGCATTCCAACGAGTCACAACATCAAGACGTAACTTACCGTTAAATAGACAGTTAACCTCAGAAAGAGCATGCTCAAATTGAGTAAGTCTAGAGTCCGAAGAATCAATATATTTACAAACCTCACGCAATTTTTGAACACTACTATCAACTTCTTCAAACCTCTTTGAACAATAATGTTCAAGACATGAGCTGAACATCGAATATGAAAAAAATTTACCAT